ACGCCCATAAATAGTGAGTACGCGAGTCCAGTCGTACTATGTAGGAAAAAGAACGAGTTTCCTCCTTCGGATAAAAGGGCTTGGAGGTTTGCTATCGATTACAGAAAACTAAATAGTATTACTAAATTCCCAGTTTACCCTTTGCCGGTTATAGAGGAAATTATTAGAAAGATCAAATCTACAAGATAAATGTCTACTTTGGACTTAACGTCTGGCTACTATCAAATAGCTATGAGACCCGAAGACATACATAAAACCGCGTTTATAACAAAATCGGGCACTTATGTGCATTTTTACGCATGCCCTTTGGGTTGTGTGGGGCACCATCAACATTCCAGAGAGCTATGGACATTGTTCTAAAGCCTGTCCTAGGAAAATCGACTTTAATCTATCTAGATGATATAATTATAACGAGTAGTACGTTGGAACATCACATTAAAGATCTAGAAGAAGATTTTAAATTATTAAAAGAGGCCGGTCTTACAATTAACGCCTCAAAATGCAAGTTCCCAACTAAAGAACTTAAATATCTCCGTTATAAAATTTCGCAAAAGGGTATAGAAACGCAAGATTCAAAAATAAAAGCAATCAAGAATTTTCCACCGCCCAACACCGCCAAGAAACTTTCTTCTTTCCTTGAGTTATGTTCTTACTATCGGTCTTTCATAAAAGATTTCGCTAATATTGTTGAACACACTTAGTAATTAAAAGAAAGTAAATTTACGTGGACAGCGGAAGCAAATACAGCATTTGAAAGATTAAAAGAAGCGCTCATCAATGCCCCTGTCTTGAAATTCCCGGAGGGGGACGAAAACCTGGAAATTGCAGCAGATGCGTCGGAACTATGCGGTGGGTGCGGTTCTCATGCAAAATGGGCCATCCTTTGGCATTTTTTAGTAAAACGTTGAATCAGACGCAAAGGAATTATACAGCTACAGAGAGAGAAACATTAGCCGTATTAATGGCTGTACACAAATTTCGAGTTTATTTCGGCAAAGCGCCAGTAACAGTCTTTTCGGATCATGCGGCTGTTGCTGGTAGACTTTACTCGGGGAAAAACCTAACGCCCAGGTTAATAAGATGGGCTGCTTTAAAACTCCAAGAATATAATATCATAATAATAAATATAAACCGGGTAAGGAAAACAATGTAGCTGACGCACTTTCTCGTATAAAACTGGACGATGAAGGAAATGAACTTAAATGCGCTGTGTTGACTTCAAAAATTTTATTAGATTCTAGAGATACGATTATCACTGAACTGAAAGCTGATCCTGAATTTGGAAATATCTATGCATATTTGAAAGACCCCCGAAAGCTTTGAGCACACAGATATCGATGCGATAAGAAATAGAGCAGAAAACTATGAAATAATAGATAATTTATTATTTTATACGAAAACAACAAACGAAAATCTCGAGTACAAACCAGTCATCCCAGCCTCGCTTCGATTAAGCATTTTGAAGGAATTACACGACGCGAAAAAAAGCGGGTCATTAGGGGTCAGAAAGACTTTAGAAAGGGTACGCGAGGCGGTATATTTCCCGCAATTATACAAAATAGTAACTGCGTATGTCAGGTCCTGCAATCAATGTCAGTTAATAAATGATATTAATTACAGCCCGGCCGGGTACTTAAATAGCATTCGCGCTACATTTCCGAATGAAATTTTAGGCATAGATCTTCTTGGTCCTTCCCCCAGAGCGAGTTAAATAAAAATCGTTTTCTTTTAGTAATAGTAGATCATTTTTCAAAATGGACAGAAATTGTTCCACTTAAACGCGCGTCAGCCAAAACAGTCGCAGATGCATTCTTACACAGATACATTTTAAAATACGGTGCACCGATAAAAAGTCATTAGCGATAACGGAAAACAATTCATTAGTCAAATATTTGAAAACATATTGCACTGGACTTGGCATACGCCATATCAAAATGGTTCCGTATAGACCACAGGCAAACATAGCAGAAAGAGTTAATAAAAATATTGTAAAAAATAATTCGCAAGTTACGTTAGCACACATCACAAGCGCTGGGATGGCTACATAAATGAATTAGCTTATGCTTTAAGAACAGGCAAATCACGATACTACGGGGGAAAACCTCCAGCAGAATTATTTTTAGGACGAAAGTTAATTACGCCAATAGATAAATTATTCTTTGTGCAACAAAGAGAGCAAGAATTTAAACAGAAAGGATGTGCAAAACTTATTGATCCAGGCGGTTAAAAGCTCGGATACGGCAAGAAATAAGACAAAAAGTGTATATACGATAGAAAACGCCGTGAAGCAGATTTTAAAGTTGGGGATAAAGTATTGAAGCGGAAATTTTCTTTATCAAGTGCCCCAGACAATTTTACTGCAAAGTTAGCTCCAAAATTTGAAGGCCCCTATGTAATTCAGGAAATCAAAGGGAGTCGTATTGTACCTTAAGAACGAGAGAGGGGAGATCAGTAAAGCAAGTCCCGACCAGATGAAAAAATACTTTAATCCAAATGATTTTGAAATCCTTAAAAGTTTCTTGCAGGACTCAAGCCTAAACGAAGTAGAAGGTCCAGAAATAACGACAACCGTTCCACCACCCAAGAAGCAGAGAACTGAAGAGAGACCTAGTCCTTCTACAACCCAAACGACGGTACCAAAAAGAAAAAATGAAAACTTTTGAAACTCCAGCATTTAAGAAAAACAAGAATGCAAAGCCACCGCGTAAAGCAACATTGGTAAAGAGGAAAACACCACCTACAACGTATCGAAGTAGAAATTATACATCAAGGAGAACGCTCCCAGGGCCAGAGAGTCAAGTGCAAACAAGGCCGCCGTTCCGGAAACTGAAAAGACAGCAGGAGGAACGAAAATACCAGCAACAACAGAAGAAATTCAAGAAGGACTCCAGACCGGAGGACGTCAAGACCAGCCGTCCAATGGAAAAACGAAAAGACAAACAAACCCGACGATTACTACCGCCAAGAGGCCAGCATGCAGAGGACGCAAAAGAAAAACTAATGTGGACGACACTCGGAGGTCACTAAGGAGAAGATTGACGTCCATGAAACCTATAACGTGGGAACAATTTTGCCAGAAAAGAATGACGGAGTTTCAATCATCGAAAACTCAAAGATAAGTTAAAATCTCTATATTTTTTTTTCTTTTGTTCCGAAATGTTATGCATAAGTACAAAGTTCTATGTTTTGACGAAAGTCAATATGTCTCGGTTGAGACTTAGTTTTGTTTTACTTTATTTAGCTAAGGCAAAAGTATTATTTTCTTTAAGTATAAAATCTAAGAAAAAGCATTTTCTGTTGGTCGAAAGACTAATTCTGTTATGTTAAAGCCAAAATTTGGCCGAAGATAAAAATAACTTCGTATTCTTGTATTAATAAAAACTTTGGTTTCAGTGCCGCCAGCTTGGCGAAGAATGAGTAAAGTAAAAATTTATTTTCTCTTATTCATTTTATGGTACATTGTAAAAATCATATGGATTAGAATTTTGTAAATATACGTAAATACTTGAAAGTTATGTAAAAGTAGAATTTATTCTAGAAGCATAAAATTTTAGATGCTAAAAGTAAATGCTTAAAAGCAATGAATTCGAATTTAAGTATTAAACTGTAGATAAAATCATGCTTTAGAGCGAAAGCCTGCATGTCTAAAGATGAATGAGGGGGAAGTTAGAATGAATGTGTTTTGTAGGGTTCTCCACCTACACTTGAATTTTTAAGAATGTTAAAGTAGCTCATCGAGTTGTAGAATGTCGAGTAAGGTGTGTCTATTTGGTCGTTGAATTCTAACAAATCATGGTGGTTAGGGAAAGTGTTGTAAGACTAAAACACGAATATTCCCGTTTGACACCACACATGGTGGAGAGCCAGGGTAAAGTTAAATTAATGTTTGAATAATTGAATGAATGTGAATTAAGCAGTAACTAAGGAAAACGAATCGTTAAAAACAAAAATTTATTCAGTGTCAAGAAAGTGTAAATTATAATGTATATAGAAAGATACTGATACTTATTCCTTCCAGATGCTGGAAGGAAAAGAACAAGATTGATTGATGAAGTCCAGGAAAAGTTGCTGTAAGAAGAGAGATTTATATAAGTATCGACAGAAATTTAGTATACATTTTGTTACATAAGATTTTTTTTGTGTAAACGAGGCTCTTGAGAGTTAGTTCAGAATTATAGAAACTTTACAACAGGTCGTTTGTAGGACCTGCTTCCAAGTTTTCCAAATTCTGGCAGCGGCAAATGTAGGGTTTATATTTATTTTAACTAACATTTATTTTAAGTTTAACTATCTTTCCTGTCAAGCCTTACTTTCCCCTGGAACTGCCAATGCCAGAGTATGTAAATTTTAGTAGAACGCGCAAGGATTCAAATTATCAGCGGAAGTATTCTGAGTTAAATAGAAAGGAAACGAGTTCGAGATGTGTTGTTCGTACTTCACGAGCGCGGAGGTAGTTAGCCAGAAATTGAAGAACCCCGCGTTTCGGCCTGTGTGCTTGCCTCGGAGAATTGTTAATCGTTCAACGTGATATTCAAAGTTTGCTGAATTAGCAGCGGTATTGTAAAACGCAGTGAAGTTACTTACTTTTAGAGAGCCTCGTAGTTAGAGTCTTATTATTATTTCTTTTCAGGTTCTTATTTTTATTTTACCGGCGGGTCGGCGTAGTTTTTGAGCGTCAAGAACACGCAATTGTAATTTCTTAAGTTGAATAAAAAGGGACTTAAACCCTTAGCGAGACTCTGTCTATTTTTCCAGTTTCAACAGTCACCTCTTGGTTGCGTGCAGGTTGGAGGCGCGCAACTCTACAAACGATTAACCAAAATCACGGTTAAACAACGCTTATTATATAACCAAGGTTAACGGCAAATCACGTTTAATTACTGGTTAACACAAATCACAATAAACAGTTAAACCGAAATCACAGTTAATATACAGCTAACCCATGTCAACGGTTAATCTAGCGTAATGCACCACAGATGACCTTCCGTTGACCTTCTCTTTTCCAGGAGTGGTCCGACCACAAGCTGAAATGGGATCCGGACGAGTACGGGGGTGTGCGACAGCTATATGTCCCAGCAGAACAAATCTGGCTCCCGGACATCGTACTCTACAACAAGTGAGTTTTATATTTGCTTATCTGACAAAAATACCAGCCATAGCATGCCGGGAAGTGAAACTGTAGCAGTCTTTGTCTTTTTTGTATCTTTTAGTCACAAATTTAACAGGGTCCAGAAAAACTCCTATTTATTTTTAACATTTTCAATCCTTCTCAAAGCCCGAAAACTTTCCATACGTTCATTGCATCTTAATTTAGGGACTCGTTTGCTTAAGTCCAGAAAGTGCGTCAAGTTATTGCATTTTAACTTAATGATCTATTTACTGGAATCCAGCAAGTGCGTCGACTCACTGCATTTTAATTTAGTTAGCCGTTTACTGGAGTCCCGCCAGTTCGTCAGTTCATTGGATTTTTCACTTAGTCGCCCGTTAGCTAAAGTACAAAAAATGTGCTACTCATAGTATTTTAACTCAGTGACCCGTTTGCTCAAGTCTAAAAAGTATGCCAATGCATTGCGTTTTAACTTAGTAAACCTATTTATTGGAGTCCACAAAGTGCCTCTTCACTACATTTTAACTTATTGACCAGTTTGTTAATGTCCAGAAAGTGCGTCCGCCGTTTATTGCATTTTAATTTTGTAAGCCTTACAGGAGTCCAGAAAGTGCGTCAACTTATTATATTTTCACTTGTGATCCGTTAGCTGAAGAGCCAAAATGCGTCGGCTCATTGCATTTTAACCAAGTTACACTTTTGCAAAAACTCAGACAGGGCGTCAGTTTATTGCATGTTAACCTGTTTTCTAAATGTCCAGAATGTGCGTCAGCTCGTTAAAGTCAAGAACCTTTGTTAATCCACTTTTTATGTAGGGTAATTCAAACGTCGACACACCAAAATTTCAAACATTGTAGTGAATGGAAATCATCCCTTCAGTAACAAGTGATAACTTCCCGTCACATCAGTTCATCACTTTGACGGTTTCTTCGGCAAAGTTAAGAACTTATACTATTCCGACCATTATTTAAAGATAAAAAACTTGCATCGGTTGTCTTTCTGCATTTCATCTTAGAAATCCTTTTGGCAATATCCACAAACCTATCAGCATATATAGGGTGAGAATCGTAACGACCTTTCTCATGAGGCCTAGAAACTGTTACCTTTCTTGATTTGATGTCCCTTTGCATCTGAATCACCATAAAATGTTGATGACATTTTGGACAAGGTCCAAAAATTGTTACCTTTCCGATGTGGGACTCGTATTTAAATGATCAGAAAACTCTTGACGAACCTTTTGACCAGATCTTGAAATTTTACTTTTTTTTTTTTTTTTTTTTTTTTTTTTTTTTGTATAACTTGTGTCTGAATGACCAGAAAATCGATATTCTAACTTTTGTGGCCGCGGACTGGTATTTTAAAACGCCTTGAAAACGTTTTGTGAGATTTTAATATTGTTACTTTTGCGGTGTCGGGACGACCAGAAAGGACCTTGAAGAATATTTTGACGAAGTCTTGAAATTACCTTTATAGTATATTTGAAGAGTGAACTTGTATTTGAATGGCAAGGAAAATCTTGGCGGTGTCTAGAAATTTTATATTTGAAGAAGCAGAAGAATCTTGATGATCTTTTGTTACCTTTATTTGTCGAACTTGTATTCATTTAAATGACCCGAAACTTTTTTTTACATTAGCTATATTTCTTCACTTACTAGTGTTAATCTGTGGTTATCAAAATATTTGAAATCCCTGTCTTTTTGCTAACGAGTTTTCTTTGTGCAGTGCTGACGGAAATTACGAAGTAACCATCATGACTAAGGCCATCATTCACAACGACGGCAAAGTGGTCTGGAACCCTCCCGCCATTTACAAGAGCTCGTGTCAGATCGACGTGCAGTACTTTCCTTTCGACAAGCAGGACTGCTTCATGAAGTTCGGATCTTGGACGTATGACGGATACCAGGTAATCTCTATCATCTTCAGACCCTGCTCGATATCGCCGTTTTGCATGCCGCGCATTTGTGGTGGTGTACGTTGCTGAAGAAATTGTGATTCTTGAATTTAATTTACCAAACAGAAGTGGCCTGAGATGGCATAAACTCAGGTACTCTATGTAAGATAAACAAAATACTAAAATATGTAAGATAAAAAGCGTTCAAATAAAATATACGAACAATTAAGATAAAAAGAGGTAACATTAAAAACTCAAAGATGCATGATAAAAAGAAGTAAGATAAAATATTCAGTTCTATATTATAAAAAGAGGTAAAATAATACAGTCAAATATTTCAAATAAAAAAAGGTATAATAAAATACTGAATTATGTGATATAAAAAGAAGTAAAATAATATAGCAAGGCATGGTAAAATAAAAAGAGGTAAAACGCTGGCTTTAATTTGAGATAGTCTTTTAACAGCTATATAAAAAGAAGTAAATTAATATTAATTTGCAATATCCATTCACAGATATGTAAGATAAAAAAGGTAAAATAAAATAGTCAAATATGTAAGAGATATGAAGAATTAAAATAAAACAGTCAAATATGTAAGAGATATGAAGAATTAAAATAAAATAGTCAAATATGTAAAAAATATGAGGAATTAAAATAAAATAGTCAAATATGCAAGAGATATGAAGAATTAAAATAAAATAGTCAAATATTTAAGAGACATGAAGAATTAAAATAAAATAGTCAAACGCGTAAGCTAAAAAAGTGATAAAATTACTCAAATATATAAGATAAAAAGAGGTGAAATAAAATGCTAACTTTAATTTCGCGGTGCTACTTTGGTAGACGGTTGCACGGATTTTGGCGATTTTCTTTTGGCGAGTAATACAACTTATGGTAAACCCATTGCTGGATAAGTTATTTATGGTAACCGATACTTTGTTGTCATTTTATTCAAAAAATAATATGTTTTATTTGTGCATAAATTCCGTGTTTTAAATATTATGTATGGCTTCTAAATATTAAAAATCAATTTAATTTTGCATTTTTATTTGAAATAAAAATTTTATTGTTTATCATATTTTATGAAATTTTATGTTGTGGTTGATATAATCAATGACGGCACCTTACTTTAAAAGTAATTGGTTTTAATATGTATAAATTTAATCTAATGTTTTAAACATTATTTATGGCTGTTAAATATTAAAATACAATTTAATTTTGCATTTTTTTAAAAAAATTATTTTATTATGTATGAATTTTTAAAGAATTTTAATTCTAGGCGTGATGTAATAAGCTCTCTGATTGGTTATAGAATATTTGTGCATTAACAAGCTGTAATCAGCTCCCTGATTGGTTACTGACAATTTGTGCATTTCCGCGCCGTTTTAAAATTTAATTCATATCTTCGAATTCCTTCAAAGATGTCGTCAAAGATGTTATCTAAATTATGATTCCGATTTTTTTTGTGGTACTTATCAATAAACAACATGTTAAATGACTAAAAAAAAAATGTAAGTACATATTTTTCTTTAATTTTATAATTGTATACTTCAATTTTTGTTAAAAATAATTAATACACTATTTTCAAAAATTTCTGAGATAATTATTGTCCATATGTTTTAATGTTAATTATATTCTATATAACGTATTTTGAAGTATTTGAATTTAATAATATTCTTATTCTTTTAAATGTTGGTATGATGGTTTTTAATTCGATATTCAATTTCAGTAATATTTTAATCTAATTAAACGTTGGCACAATGTTTTTATTCTCTTCTTTGCTATATGAAAGTAATAATAACCTTACTTTAGTATTTTATACTCATACTAGATGTATTTATTTACACTTGCCTGCGATCTTAAAAAACGACATTTTCAACAAAAATTTAATCAATTACTTTTAACGATATTTATTTTTTTTTAAGTTTCGAATACTTTACTATGCGTAAAAACATTGTTTTTCAAGATGGCTGATGTTTGTAAAAATCGCGCCAACGTAAATCGCCAAAAATCCGTGCAACCGTCTACCAAAGTAGCACCTAATTCGCATTAGTCCCTTAAAACCTATATAAAATAAAAATAGGCAAAATAAAGTTTCAACTTTAATTTGGAACAGGTACGTTAAATATATGTAAGATAAAAAGAGATAAAGTATTAACTTTAATTTCCATTAGGTCCGTTAACAAATATACGGAAAATAACAAATATACGATAAAAAGAAGTAAAATTAAGTATTAACTTTATTAACAAATGTGCAGGATAAAAATAGATAAAATAAAATATTCAAATATGTAAGATGTAAAATGGTAAAATACAGGGTGTTTATAAAGTCCTGGAGCCATTTTGACGTTTAATAACTCATAAAATAATGAAGATGTAAACAAACTTATGGCATTTATTGATGGAATAACTTAGGTTTGAATATCTTTACTTTTGTAAATATCGTCTGCGGGTTGGTTAATTTCAGATAATTTCATTTTCCAGTCTAAATATCTGTATTTTTCAAAATATCGTTTGCTTATTAATTGCATTTTCCTCTCTTTTGTTTTTGGCAACTATTGCAATGTAATGTTTACTTTTGATGTGTTTGTTCTAGTACTTTTGTATGTGATGTTTTATTCGACCGGATATTAAGAAGAATGCATACACCACAAGAGAAAGCACAGATTTTATGGTGGTTCATAGAAAAGAAATCCATAATGCAAACACAGAGAAATTGCAGAATAATTTACCAAAAAAGATCCTCCATCCAAAAGCAGCAGCTTACGGTGGAAAAAGAATTTTCTAGAAACTGGAAGTATCGCAGATAAAAACGTTCCGGACGTCCCTGCACAAGTGATTTTGATGTTGAGCGTGTCAGAGAGACATTTTTGCACAATCCTAGAAGATCTTTGAGATCAGCGGCAAGAGAATTGGATATGCCAATTTCGACGGTGTACAAAGTTATTAAGAAAAAATTAAGACTGCATGCATACAAAGTTCAAATTGTTCAAATTTTGGAACCGGACGATAGGCCTAGGAGGAAGGCCTTTGATGATGCTGAATTTCTGAAGCGCATAATGTTCTCCGACGAAGCATTTTTTCATCTTTCTGGCACTGTTAATCGCCATAATGTGCGCATGTGGGGATCTGAAAACTCCCATGAATACCGTGAGGCATAAAGGGATTTCCCAAAGGTTAATGTGTGGTGTGGACTAATGCACAACTGAGTCATTGGGCCTTTCTTTTCTTTTTTTTTTTTTTTTACAGAAAGACGGTCTCATCATCAGTCGTATACTTAGACATGTTGGGAAGACTTCGTATTTTCCACAACTAGAAGAATAGCTTCTAGTTCACTTCAGCCACATGTCTTTTTGCAACAAGATGGTGCAACCACCTCATTGGGATACCATCGTTCGTAGTGCTTTGAACGACCATTTTACAGGAAGATGGATTGGGCGAGGAAGTCCAATTCCTTGGCCACCCAGATCACCTGACATAACGCCGCTGGACTTTTCCCTTTGGGGATTTGTAAAGGACACCACTTACAGGAGGAGAGTGTTGAACATTGAAGACCTAAAAGTCCAGAATTACCTAATAGCCTTACTACCATTGAAGACCTAATAGCCTCTGTGGATGCCGACATGCTTGCCGGGTACCTGGCGTGAAATTGAATATCCGAACTTGATGTTCTCCATGCGACGAAGAGGGCAGCACACGCGGAAGTTCATTGACAAGGGTCATGGAACTTTTTTGAGTCTTATCTAACCATTTATGTTATTAATTTTAATCTATTATTTTATGAGTTATTAAACATCAAATTAAACATCAAAATGGGTCCGGGACTTTATAAACACCCTGTATTAACTTCAGTTTGCAATGGATCCGTTAGCATATATGTAAGATAAAAAGACATAACATTAAATACTAACTTTGATTTATTAACGAGTAAGTAAGATAAATGGGGTAAAATAAAATATTAACGTTAATTTAGTTTAACCCTTTAACTCATAATAATTTAAATCCGCGTTTTAGTTTCACTCTTGAGAAAGAAGGCCTGTATCCGATGTCCTTCAAAATCAACAGAGTTTTATTTAAAAATATACGCGAAACTAAATTTGCCTTTCCTCTTAATTTTAATGATTTTATGATTATTTAATGATCAGATAGCAAAGCTCACTTGGGAATCTGCCTAAAAGATGAAAATTCACATTCACATGCCGTGTGATCCATCCGAATATTACAATATTTCATCTGAATCCGAATGCGTTTCTTAAATCTGCCAGCAAACAATTTTCGAAAGTCCACCGACCCGAAAAGCATCCGCTCCGACCCACCTACCCGTTAGCAGCGGAAAGATCGAATCTTCGCACGAGTGGGGATCGTCTAAGGACAAGAGAGGGAGAACGGAATGGTTCATCGGCAAATAAAACTGATCGCAGATTGCTTCTATTCGGGAGAAATATTACGATCGCCATCGAACCAAACGACGTCAGATAAAAGGATTTATAGATCTTCATCGGCTGCGAAGGAGGGGAGGGGCCCCAGGCGAACGAATTGTTGCCAGTTTATTACAGAGCTTATTTAATACAAGAAACGTCTTATTGCGTCTTTCTAAATACTTTGCATCCTTATCTTGTGCTATGGTGGGTTACGATATTCATGCATTTAATCATCCGTGCTACTTGGTAGCTTTTCCAGCTGCAGGAATCATCAGATCTTCGAAAACGTCTTGCCATTTCACATAGTGTAAGATCATTATTTAGTTCTGAAAATAATTGCTTTGCTTAAAGAAAATGAGGGTTTAAGAAATAGTAAATGTATATTTAGTAGTAATTTAAATAATTCAGTGTTTAATTATCAAAAAGTAATACCTTTATTAAAATTAATAATTAACTATAAATATATGCGACCGAAATTCGATTTTATTTTAAATTAATTGAAAGAAATCATCATAAACAGAAAGAAAGATTGAAGAATTTTTGTGAACTTGATAGTAACTAAACGTTGCGCTCTATGACGAAAAGGTAGAG